AGTCCACCTAACCTACACTTCTTTGGACCGTGGGAGGAAGCTGGAGCACCCAGAGGAAACCCACGTGGATATGGGGAGAATGTGCAAACTCCACACAGACAGCTGCCTGAGGCTGGAATCGAATCCTGGTCCCTGGTGCCATGAGGTAGCAGCGCTAACGACTCAGTCACTGTGCTGCCCCATTTTTCACATTTCTATGCAAAAATAAAATATTGTGCGTGTTGGGAATCTGGATTAACAACAGGAAATGATGGAAATGCTCAGCAGGTTTGGCAGGCTCCATGGAGAAAGAGAGATTGGTTGTGATGAAAGGGTTACAGACCTGAATCATCAGATCTGTTCCTTCCCACAGACGCTGCCTGAACTGTATGTCCATCATTTTCTCTTTCTTCTTCATAATTCTGTATCCAGAGAACAGAGACGAACATGGAAAAGATCTGTTGGTTCATCAAACCAGGCCCAATGGATGACCGGAGCATTATCTCTAGACACTTGCTAACATTAATCATCTCGTCCAGCACAATGTTTTGAAAGGGTTAATTTTGGAGACTGCACTAAGCTCCACCCAATCTGATGAAGTTCAAAGGATTTGAGTGGGGGAAAGGTAGATCATCTTGGGATTTTGCAGGATGAGGACATATTTCACAAGTCTCCTAACATTCTTAGTAAAAATGTAACTTGTCCATGTTTGCTATCATGCAACAAACTATATCTTGCTTAAGACAAAAGCCTATTCACATTAAGACGCACTCATGGTTGCTTGCCTGCCAATATCAAACAAGTAAATCCCTTAGACCCAGTCAGGGACAGGAGGTGGTGGCAGCCAGAGGCTGGGAGCAGTTTCCAATGTAATACGTGTACATTTAATCCCACCCCAAACCTGCCCCTCCCCTACCCCACACACAGATGGCCATCTTTGATCAACTTTGATAACACAGTGTGGAGTTGGAGGAACACAGCAGGCCAGGCAGCATCAGTGGAGCAGGAAAGCTGACTTTTCAGGTCAGGACCCTTCTTCAGAAATGATGGTTCCATAGGCAGGTGGTGAGAAAGGCGATGTGGCTGTAGTACCTGGCTCACTTCAGTTTGTGGTCAAAAAGTTTCAGGGCCGAAGAGATTACCAGAGGGTTGCAGTGGGAGAGAGATCCACTGAGCCCATTTCTGAAGAAGAGTCCCGACTCGAAACGTCAACTTTCCTGTTCCTCTGATGCTGCCTGGCCTGCTGTGTTCCTCCAGCTCCATACTGTGTTATCTCTGACTCCAGCATCTGCAGTTCTTACTATCTCTTTGATGAACTTTGATTAACTTTGCCTTAATTTTTACTTTTTTTTCTTCTTGTCTCTGACTGATGCCATTAATACAGGTACTATGGTATGGCAACTTCTGAAACTTTTCACTGTATTTTGATGATAAATTGTTATTCTACTCTATCTCCTAAAAAAAAACTGAAAAACCAGCAGCCGTATATTGAAAAATTCCTTTCTGACCGCCCCTCCCCCTCAGGTAATCAGGACAAGGCTAAAAATGCTGACGGGACTAGGAGTTATCTGTTGTAAAAGGCATATGGTGGCACAGTGTAAGGTCACTGGATGGAGTGAACCATACAGACTGGGTTAATGTTTTACTTTAGGGCCATGAGCTCAAATCCCATCACAGCCACTGGTAGAATTTAACTGAAATTAATAAATCTGGAATAGAACTTAAGACCAAAAGGTGTTAAAGCAGAAGTTAGTCATTCAGCCCATCAATTCTGCTCTACTATTCAAAGAGATTACAGTTGATCTGATCCCTCAACTCCACTTTCCATAACCCTTGATTCCCTCACTGATGAAAAATCTGTCTATCTCAGCTGTGAATATGCTTAATGATCCAGCCCTTTTTGCTAAAGAATTCCACAAATTCACTACATTCTGAGAGAAGAAATTCCTCTTCATTTCTGTCTTAAATGTGGGACCCTTTACTCTGAGATTAGAGAGCTAGTCTCAGGGATGGTGACCATGGAACTATCATCGATTGTTGTACAAAGCCATCTGGTTCACTGATGCTCTTTGAGGAAGAAAAGCTGCTGTCGTTACCTGGTCTGGCCTACATGTGTTTCCAAGCATAGGAATGTAGGATCATAGGAACAGGAGTAGGCCATTCAGTCCCTTGAGCCTGTTCTACCATTGGATGAGATTATGGCTGATCGATGGCCTACTCCATACACCTGCCTTTGGACCAGGCCCCTTAATATCTTTGCTTAACAAAAACGTAACTATCTCACACTCAACATTCAAAATTAATTTAAAATTTAAAATTGAAATTGAGCTGCTTAGTTCAAGGGCAACTAGAGTTGAGCAAAAATGCTGGCCTTGCCAGTGCCTACATCCCATGAAAGCGTGAAGGAAATTAAACTTAACTTCCATAAGGAAAATAGGAGCAAGCTCAGTTTCAACAACGAGACTCAGTGCCACAATCATCCCCCATCCCTTTCAGCTTCCTGAATGACCTTCTACTGTGAGAGCTCAGAGTTGGTAAAACCATGCTAACAAACAGAGGCAAACTATGTCAGTGTCAGAACCTACAGATCAGCTTTTATCGATGATTTAGATCAGATAATGAATCATGTCAGAAATCTGGGGTGAGAGTGAACAACCACATCCTGGTGATAAATACAAGCTGTTGAAGTTTATATGCTCTGGCTCGTTATTATTTATCTTGCAATTGTTGCTTAGGAATTCATTCCAATGAAATTTCTTTCTTAAGCCAAAGCTTAAGATACACACTGAGAGCATCTTGGGACTTGACCCTTGACCAAATTAAACATTCTCTCTCAAAAAAGCCAAAAAACAAGAGTTCCAGCTCCAATTTTAGGAGAACAGTCTTACAATGCTTCACACAGCACATTTATACTCGACACTCTACAAACAGAAGGTGAGAGATGATGCCGGCCTTTCTAGCGTCTCGTGACATGCCAGAGTATTGATCGATACAGCAAGTTGAGGTGACACGGTGGCTCAGTGGTTCGCACTGGTGCTGCACAACACCAGAGACCTGGGTTCGATTCCACCTTTGGGTGACTGGCTGTGTGGAGTTTGCACATTCTCCCTGTGTCTGTGAGGGTTTCATCCGGTGCTCTGGCTTTCCTCCCACAGTCCAAAGATGTGCAGATAAGTTGGATTGGCCATGATAAATTACCCATAGTGTCCAAGAATATGCAGTCTAGGTGGATTAGCCATGGGAATGCAGGGTCACGGGGTTGGGTGGGATGTTTTTGAGAGGAGTGGTGTACACTTGATGGGCTGAATGGCCAGCTTCCACACTGTAGAGATTCTATGAAGTAGAGCATCCAAGATTTCAGGCTGTGATGAGTAGCTAGTTATGTAGATATCTAATAGAATTTTGCCAAGTCTACAGCACTGAAAGAGCTACTTGGCTCAATAAACCCAGGCTGGAAATTTCATTTCTCCACTATCAATTGATTCTGAGTGACCGCTGACAGTAACGATCTATGGAACTACATCTCTCAGTCTCGTTCCCTCATGTATTTATTCGTGTTCAACCGCTCCTACTTTGGGGTAGGAAGTTTCTCCTGAATTCTGTACTGGATTTATTCCAGACTATTTTATATTCACAATCTCTAAGTCTGGTCTCCAAGCTGGTTGAACAAAGGCTCTATATTATTTTAAAATGACTTGTAGACTTTGCAATTCTCTCACTTTAGAAATTAATCCCAGTGCAACATTTTTTTTTTCAAATGGTCTTGGGAGCACACGTTGCCAATTTTATTGAATTGTGCCCGGTTCCCTTTCGTTCTTCACGCTCATTTAGAATCTTATTGTCCACACAATATGCTCCTGTTTGTCTTTAATTTTGATCCACATTGAAATCTCAAATTTCTCTTCTCTGCTGAAGATTTCTCCTTTCTTCTCTGTGGAAACCTTCAGCATCTTTAATTGATCAGTTTTGATTGATCAGCTGTGAGAGATGCACCAAACTGTTTGATAAGAGAGGTCGCTGCGTTGGAATCAGATTCTGCCTTATCCTCATCATGAGTTCAAAGATTGCAGGTGTCTGTGGGAAGGCCAACATCTATCGTCCACCTTGAGGTGGCATGAAGTCTACACATGTCAAAATTCCACTGAAATTCCGGATAATACACAATGACTGGAATGATCCAGAACATATTGCCTGAAAAGGTAGTGGAAGCAGATTCAATAATAACTTTCAAATGGGAATTAAATAAATATTTGAAAAGGAGATTCTGTAAGGATAGGGCTTAAAAGGTAGTAAGGTAGGACTAATTGGATAGCTGTTTCAAAGAACCAGTACAGACATGATAGCCCAAATGGCCTCCTTCTGAACTGTACATTTTGACTGCATTCCAAATCCATATATGGGCAGTTCGTAATGGAGATCATTGATAGTGACAGAAAGCAGAAACCCTGACAAATAGCTCCAAGCAACAACTCCAGACCTAACAACTGCCTTAAGGGATTAACTCCCTTGTATACTACGCTGTTCACATCCTTGGACATTTTAAATTGCTTCACATCCAGTGAATACTTTCAAATGTGGCAGCCTATTTGTGCACAGAAAGATCACACAAAAAGCATATGAGATAAACAGTTGTGGAGTAACAAAGACAGAACTTGCATTTCCATAGCAGCTGTCACCGCCTCAGGACATCCCGTAGCCTAAGTCACTGATGTACTGTCGTGAAATGAGTTTGCCAATTTGCTCACAGCAAGCTCCCACAAATAGCAATGAGATTAAGGATCAGATCATGAAGTTTTGGAGATGTTGCTTGAGGAATAAATAATGGCCAGGACACCAGGAGAAAGCCTCTACTGTTCTTTGAAGTAATACAATGGAATCATTTGCATCCACCTGAATGCACAGATAGGGCCTTAGTCCAATGTCTGACTCCAATTCCTATTTCTTATGGTCTTGAGGGTTTGACAGAGCCTGAGACACCAGCTCATGGTTTGCCCACGACCCCTGCCTCTCTTGTTGCTTACCTTTGCCCTGGGTGATGAGGGTGATGAGGTGACGAACAGTATCGAGGAGTTTGAGCTGCTGCTGTTGGAGGCCACTGTTGTTGCTGATGGCTGTGAGCAGGCGTTTCTCCAGCTCCTGGATGGCATTGACCTGGTGACCCACTAACTGCTGGAGCAACTCCTTCTCCTTCCTCATGGAGCCCAGCTCGGCCCGGTGTTTGGCTTCAATGTCCGAGACCTTCCTCTCTAAAAGACTGAAGAAGCCATTGCAATTCAAATAGACCAATAGAGTCATACAACACAGAAAAGGCCCTTTGGCCCATCAAGTCTGCACTGGCCTATCAACATTAATCCCACCTTCCAGCAAATCTCTTCTTCAAATTCAACCAGATCCCACTGGTTTGTACTTTTGACATACATTTCACTTTAATGATGGGAAAGGCAGGGGAATGTATAATACGTTTTACATTAGTTATACATTTCGTTTGAAAGTGGAAATACTCTTAGTAAATGTAGAAATGTTGTTATTTATGATATGGGTTGGGTAGAGAGCAAGGCTTGGCCTACACTGTACCATGAGCAGGTCAGATACAGCACACATTAGGTTCTGAGTAACACTCACTCTGTGCCTTTTCCTGCAGTTTGAGGTTTGAAAACTGTCGTAGGTCCTCAATCAGAGCATCGTGAGTGGGGTAGGACAGTGGGGGGAGTCAAGGGAATAGAGAGCAGAAGTCTGTTAGAGCAGCAACCGCTAGGAGTTGATGCAACTTGGTCAGAGCTCCTTAGTGACCATTTCTGCCTCCGAGATCAGGCCACAAAATTTCAGCTGAACTTAGGGTCTCGACCGCCATCTTGGGAGTTCCTGCTCTACGCTGTTTCATAAGCTGATCAAATATTGCACAGCTTGGGCAATAACATGCTCTTTACTGTTTAACACTCTCGTTACAGTGCCCTATTAGGAAAAACCGGAAGAGATTAATTTATAATCCTGAGGAACCAGCGAGTGTTTGCAGTTCCATTACAAAGCCATGAAGGCAGTCCAGAACAACTTCAGTAATTTAGAAAAACAAGAACTACCTACAGATGAGATAACACCACGTTCAGACCCCCTTTTTAAGAATAGAATAGGGTCCCTACAGTGTGAAGCAGCCCCTCAGCCCATCAAGTCCACACCGACCCTCCAAAGATCATCCACAGTTCTTTCGGTTTTTATGGACACTGTGGAATTGATTTCAGTGTTTTTCCTCAAGTCCCTGCTGTGACTTCAACAGAAGTGGATGATTCATTAGGACTTCAGCTGAAGTTACAGTCAGAAATTATTCTGCTATCCGTAGAATCCCCACAGTATGGAAGCAGGCCATTCAGCCCATCAACGACTGACCACTGACCCTCCGAAGAGGAACATCCCTCCCCCGACCTTATCCATGTAACCCTGCATTTCCCAAGGCTAACCCACCTAAGTCTGCACATCCCTGGACACTATGGGCAATTTAGCATGGCCAATCCACTTAACCTGCACGTCTTTGGACTTGTTTGATTTTTTGGTGCAGGTGGATCAAGGTGAGTTCCTACACTTGGTAAATGCATCAATACAGCAAACGATGAGATCTTTCACTCAGACTCTGTAGGTGGAGTCTTGTGGAGGGATTGGGAGTCTTGCGGGATAATTGAAGGGCCAGCTCAACAGAATTCCCCATCGCAACTAGGTTTTACGTGAGTGAGAAAAAAACCTGATTCCAAATGTTATTTAGAGCAGGTGATGTCCTGTGCCCAAAGCTGTTCAGAGTGAGTAGCCTCTGCTCTGTCTTCACTGGGGAGGATTCGTCTGTGTCAGGCTGTGATCAGCAATGTCTGGTTGGAAGGCGAAGTTACATGAAGGAGGGAGGGAGGTTGCAGTGTAATGGACACAGGTCAAAGAGGCTGACCAGGAACAGCAGGGACCAGGGAATGGATGCTGGGCCAAATGGATCAGCTACAGTAGATCACTCCAAAACCCCGACTGATGCTCCTGCCTTGCAGGGAGCTCTTTTAAACAATTTATGCATCAGGCACATCAAATGGAGCCCGATTAATCCAGATTGAAGTTTGCCGGCCCCTTTAATGGGCCCCTGTAACAAAAATCAAGCCTTCAATATTTAAATGATCAGAATTCAATTTAAAATTTCCCTATGGAAGTTAATAATGTTGTCCAGCCCCTGTGCTCACCATTGGCCAGGTGTAGGTTTGAGCGTGTGAGTGGACACTACTCTAAGGACAGCTGGGAATGAATGAGGGGCTGGCAGTCAGGCCGAATGGCCCTCTCACTGCCTACTACAGGGAGCTGTATATGGCCAACATTCCTAGACTCAGATCTAGAAGGCGACCCTCCAACCTGTTTGCAATCCCTACTCCTCCACCACTGCCCTCTGCCCAAACCAGTCCCCAGCTCACACGCACAAAGGTTTTCCATATCAGGAATGTGAAGCTGAAGAGCAAACAAAGGTTGAGCAGCAGACCCCCTCAGAGAGTGAGAAGGGCTGTGGTCTGCTATACTGGGGCTACACGGAAACGTGGAGTCCTTGAGGCCCCAGTAGTCACAGGCAGCCTCAGGGGCCATGGATCGTTTACAGTATGGGACTGCCCTGTGCAACACCCCCTGATGGGAAAGGGATGGCCTCACACATAGGGAGCCTGCCCACTGTGGGCACCCCCACCTCGGATTGGCAGGACACAACAGCATGGCGGATGATTAGCAGGGAATGCATAGGGGTCTGGGTACCCATTGAATATAGCATCGGGGCCCTTGCTCACTTTTGTAATGAGGTCTGTCAGCTTCCTACCCTTTCCTGCCACAGGGTGTGCATAATTAATGAGAACGTAACCCTGTGAGGAACACTGACCCATTGGTCAGTGACCCAGAGGAAGTGACAGTAACATCTGCTGTCTAACTTTGACAGTGCAAAAGGAAGATTAATCCCATTTGGGTCTGACTTTAACCACATATGATAATGGATTATTGTTTGATTGTTAGAAACATTGACAAATGGAGCGTGGTTCAGCCTCATATCAGATCAATGATTTAAATCATGACCCTTTGATCTCATCCTAGTGATAATTTGGCATTGATTCTGGTTAATTAGGTCAAACAACTTGCTCCACAACAATCGCACGCCCAGCTCCCTCATTAATCTTGCACTCCTTAACCTGATCCTTACAGCTCTGGAGCAGTTTGAGGGTTTTAAATATGATGAGTGTTTGTGCATGTCGAGATGATGGATAGGTCTTCATTCTCTCTCTGGAGCACCACTGACCAGCCACAGGAGTTTTCATTAAATCTTATCAGCTGAAGTACAAATTGAATCATTTTGACCCTCAATTTTGCAAGCCTGATTATAGAATCATAGAGTCATTACAGATTCAGGGTTTTCACACCAAACAAGGCATAAAGGATTTTGTGAGCTGGCAAGGCAGGGACACAATGTGTTGCAGATGTAGAATTTAAGTCAAATTCAAAAATAGACAATTGGAGATGGCCAAGGGAAACCTGGTCCAGGCAAGCACACACAGAGCCTTGACTAACTGAGAGACACCCTCGTCAAATAACACCCAACACACACACACGCACATACACAGACCCACACACACACACACAGACAGACAGACACAAACACACACACAGAGCCCCCAACACACACACACACACTCACACATAAACAGACACGCAGACAGACAGACACACATACACATGGACACACACAAACACACGCACACACACGTCCACAGACACACAGACAGACAGACACACAGCCCCCAACACACACACACACACACACAAACATACAGCCCCCAACACACACACA